AATGTGTTAAAAGTAGAACAATCTTACAGCCAAGCCAGAGCTGCAAAGTTACTTTTAATAAACACTCTCGTCTGTGTTAATTTTAAGTCAAAAGCAAAACAGTCTCAGATACTGTGGTGGATTTGTACGTATGTCACATAGGAACCCCGAGGTCCCATGAAACAAATCTGATGAGCACTGTGGTCAGTAAAAACTAGTACGGTCCACTTGGTGCATTTCAGTCATTTTCTACCTTCTTCGGTGAACAGGGTCTGTCTAAAAATGTGTGTTCTAATATATATGTTTCTTAGTTTATTGTGAGAAGGATACAAGGAACAAGATATAAGCAAATTAGGCTTAGCAGAGTCAGGGATATCAAAATCAAAGTGTTTTCTACTGCTGCCTGTCCTGCACACTCTCCAGTTCCCAGCAGTGTCACGGCTGATGGCTGCCAGGAGCGGGCTGGTTCTGAGATATCTGCAGGGCGTGTGCTTGGTGGGTATAAAAGTGCTCTGTGAAACTGGATTTTATTCTACCAGCATAAAACACCCTGTCATTTTAGGCACGGACTTCTCACTGCCGAGAGAAAACAAAGTAATACTGATACATTATTACAGTATAATGTGTATAGAGAATTATTGTATTGTATTGTAGAATAAATGTCAGTGATTTTTGTAGAATAAAAATCAACGGAGGAAAAAATGGGGCGGGGAGCTTCATGAAGTTATCGTATTTATGGTTAAAGCATGAAATAAATTTTTCCATCCGACTTTTACATATGTGCATATGACAGCACTGAGCTGACTAAACTGAGCGCTGGCATAACCCCATTGACTTTACTGAAATTTCATCCCTTTGCAGCAATATTGGGTTTGGCTTAAACACAAATGACCAGATAATTTTCTGACTGGTAATGTTTATAGGTTGTATTTCTGACTTGGAGTAAACAAACTGCATCACTTCTTATTCATTATTGCAATGAAGCTTCTAGACTGCAACAGGTCCCAAATATGGCCTTCAAATATTTCAGCATCATAATAGATGTAAAATATCACCAGGAGGTCTCAGCCCTCTCTCTCAAGAGGATTTACAGCTAGCTAACTCATTTTGTATTAGAACTATTGCGGAAAAAATGATCAGTGTTCCTAAAATGAGACAGTGTGTTCACAGAAAGTGAAGGGGATGAGTGGGCTCAAGAACAAGTGAACTGGAGAAACTCTAAAAAAGTCATGCAATGAGAGTAGGATAAACAATTTTTAAAAAATATTTTTGTTTTATGAAAGTATAATGTATTGCAAGGAAGCTGGATAATTCCTGGTGGGGGCAGGGGAAGAGGCTCACTGGCTGTTCTGCTACAAGCACTTAAACTTTATAGGAAGCAACCCTGGGAGTAGAAGGCCTGCCTCTGGCCTGTAGTATTTTACATATTCTCTCAATCTCCTCTGGGTCCCACCCCTGCATGTATTCTTCTTCCTGCATTATCAGAGTTGATGACACAAAGTTGATTTAGATCTCTTAGACTTATTTTAAATTCGTATCACACACACACACAAAAGTGTAAAATTCTGGACTCCAAAGGGTCTTCTAGCAAAGATGTAAAGAATTGCTCAGGTGAAAATCTGATTCTGAAACCTGAAACATTAAGAAGACTGATATTTCAGGAGGCTGGTAATAAATCACAGTTATGGTAACAACAAGCTGCTTGGTTTGATCCTCTATCATGGTGTAAGCTGTTAGTGAAAGTGAGGTGCAAAGCAGATTCAAATCAGAATCAACCTGCGCTCCTTTGTGAAAGATGCTCACTCCCATTTGCTTGTAGAAAAGGCAAAAATAAAAACATTGTGTACACTGTTTTTTCATGATGCCTGCTTTGCAGATATTAGGTGACACAGTTTATTGTTAATGCTGCACAGTGCACACCATGTACTTTGAGTGAAACATTTCAGTCTTTTGTAGGCCAACCTGCCCCTACCAGCAGATGTGCAGTTTATTTGGTACATTAATCTGTTCTTAATTATAGTGCCACCCAATACAGTCTTGCGGTTATTTTTTTGGAAAACAGGAGGAATTGCTCTAAGGCTTCTTAAAGGCTGATAAGACTTTGCTAGGACACAGTGTTCAGCTGAAAAACTTGTGGGTGGAGGAAAAGGATTTCTGTACTTAGTGAAGCAACTCAATAATTGAAAAATTGTGATTTTAATTTCAAAGTAATTTACAATATAGATGTGCTTGCAGAAATACCACTCTCGCTTTTTGATAGAATGCACACATGCTCGATGTCTTAATTAGATAGGGGAAATGGTCTGCATTCGCTTAGAACAATGTTTAGGTATTTAGCATTCAGGCTTTTTTAATAATCTTTTAATTCTATTAAATGTGAAAGCAAGTGCTTAGAATAAACATTGAACTTATTTCTGGCTTTAATAAAAAAAATGCTGCTTTCACAGTTATGCTTCAGCCTAATTCCATTTCGAGCATTGTGTTTTTACTCAGGGGAAAAAAAAAAAAGATGTGATTTCTAAACCTGGAGATAGATCACAAATCTGTGTTGCAATTGACCTTAATGAGACAGCATCTGCCTAGTACCAGTGCTTAAGCTCTTACCTTCTACTGTCGTTTTTTGTTCATTCTACCAAGAAGGTGGAGCTTGTGTCAGAAAAAAAGAGGTGGGGAGAAGGTCTTTCAGACAATACGAAATTCAGTCCATTCATTGTCTGGAGCATCAGATTTCGCAATAATTATCCAGAGATGCAGGCTGTTTCCACTTACCCTTGATCATGTGTAAGGTTACATGAGTTTTCCCTTATACCATGCTGCTGTTTTCCATGAGTACTGAGACCTGTATACCCCTCTTGAGTGAGGCAGTACTGGAACACAGATTACTACGCTCCTAATTCTTATCAACCCAAGAGATGTAAAATGTGATAAGCTTAACAGTCGGACTCGATGATCTTAGAGGTCTTTTCCAACCGTAAGGATTCATTCCATGATTCTATTCTAATGCAAGTCACCTTGGTATGGTTACGCTCCCGTAGGCATAGAAGGACTAAGGCATGAGTGAGGACTAAGGACCAGAACCAGTACTACCCACCACCTCTGCACAGCTGAGCCTTGTAGGTGGGACAACAGAGACTTGCCAAGAAGAGGGACTTGGGATGTCCTCAGGGCCTGCTGCATTGCCAGGTTGAGATCCACGTGAAAGTAGAGCCTTGCTTCAGCAGCATTAAATAGCACAAGCTCATCTTTGCAGGAGGTCCAAGCCAGTCATTACACTTCTTCAAGAGGTTTTGGAAAATCTAAAGCAAATACTCCACCTGGTCTGGAACTGTGTACACAAGCAGACTGCAGACGCAAAACATTGCTGGATAGAGAATTAAGTATTAACAAGCTAAAATTTATTTATAGAGTAAAACTACTGGCTTCAGTTTGGCCTAGTTTCCAGACAGATACATTGAGACTATTTGTGGTGAAAAAGCTTTATTAATTACATTCAGTTTCTATAAAAATAACTTAAAATCCAATCAAAATGATAGATGCGTCTCAGGTTCTGTTATCTTACTGCTTGCATTCAAGCATGTTTTTTTCCTTTCTGCTCTGAGCAGTAGCACCGTCAAAGCACAGATGCCCCAGCAGGGACACCTTGGAAGACACAGCCCTGCAGTTGGAGGTGATTCAGCCAGACTGCCTGGTTGTGTTCTGCTACCCTCATCTTGGCCTTTTCATCTGTTCTTTTTTTCCTCTGTGGTGTTGTTCACAAGCAGACAGGAGACAGATAGGAAACTGTAAGGCTTCCATGAATGGCAATACCAAAGTACATAAAAACACTGCAGTGACACTTATTAGGGGATAGAAGAACAGTTATCACACCTTTTCCAGGCATGCAGCATTCTGTGGTCATGATATGGCTCTGGGTTCCTGCAACTGCATTACAGGACAGCATCACAAACTCCAGAGCTCAGTAGCCCTGAGGTAATTTTTCTTCTTGCCTGTAGCTAGATGCCTTCCCCTTCTTGATATTCAGCTTCCTTATAGCTCACTGCATCCTCCTGTAAATATGCTAAGTATTCATGTTTATCCAACAAAATAGTATGCAACAAATACTACATGCAGACAAGTCCTTTAAAGAGGTCTTGAACTAAGCTGTTTACATGGTTCTTGGTCTTGAGTGTTTTGCAAGATACTTTAGCTTTTATTCTTCCTTCTTATAGTCATGTTTATCTACTATAGTCTCTCTTGCAAACATTCTTCAATATTGAAGCTGGCTTCAGGGTTGAAAGGCTGGACAATTTCATTAAGGTGTTATCAACATTTATTTAGTTTCCTGCATTAGTGTTCTGCTGTAAGTCAATGTGGGTTCTTGAAAATGTGTCTGATCTTTTATCATTCAGAGGACTTCAGGCTACACTCTGAAAGTTTTGACAGGATCTCCCACAGTTTTAGTATTTGGTTTTTTTATTCAATATTTGCTAACTTTTTAAAGCCCTTGTTTCTACAACTCTACCTACAAAACACCCACTGGCAGTTACACTCTGTAGCTAAAACAAGCTGGTGAGGAATGCACATCATGTCAGGTCTTCAGTGAGTGCATAAGGGCTTTATACAGACAAGAAACAGGAAGAAATAACAACATGCAGCAGTTCTACATGCTCATGCCAGTACTTCTGAGGTCTCTCTTTTACATTATGAATACTACCAAGCTAGGCATAAATAAAACATGCTTATGCAGAAATATAACATATAACTTTCCAAAGAGATAAAAGCTATTCTGTAATCGTCAGCTACTAATTAAAAATGCATTGGGTCAGCAGGAACTGTTTGAACACAATTTTATTTATTGACTGTGAATGTTTCCATGTGAATACAGAACTGCTCGTGTTTCATTCACCTCCCCAAGCTGTCACGCCCATCATACTCTGCAATGCTGTCTGAAGCATTGCTTTTCTTGGTGGTGGCGGGCTTTGTAATTTTGGGATAGTTATGCTGAAGTTAGAAGCTGTTTGAGTGTTTTCTCCTCCTCCTTATGTTTTTATCTGATGATGGAGACTGCTGAACACTTGTTCAGAAGGTAGTTTACAATGGGGACACTGGGCTGGCAGATGCAAGCAACAGTAACACGATGGTTGCTATTGCACAAATATCTCTTGAAGTGTTTGGAGCAGACTCAAAGCAGCTTGGGGCTGGAGGGGGCCTTTTACCGGGTTTGAATTATTGGTGACAGGAGCGTTTTGTTCCCAGTCCCGTGGCTTTAACTTTTATGATGCTTTTGGTGGAACTGATCGTTCAAAGGAATGTTACCATTCTTCTTTATTTCCGCTTCGATTTCTTACTAAAACAAAAAAAAGAAAGTACAGGAAAATTGTGATTTTATTATGAACTCTACTTAGTAAAGTCTGCGGGTAGTGGCCTTGGGTATTTCCAATGCCGCAACTCTGGAGTCAGGCGTTTCACCTTCCTTTCCCGACTGCCTTCACACCACGCCGAGTGCTGTCAGTTCGGCGCCTTGCCCGGTGACAGGCACACGCCGCTGCCCACCGGCCCTTCCCGAGCGGGCGGGACGCGCGGGTCCCGCGGGCGGACGAGGGAGCGAGAGAAGAAGCCCGAGCCCAACGGGAGCCCCCGAACCTCCTCTGCGGCCCCGGCAGAGGGCTCTGGGGCCCGGGCGGGCGGGATGTTGCGGGCTGTGCGGGGCTGGGCCGGTCGGACTCACCCCCCACCACAGCCCCTCGCCGCCGCTCGCCCCGTGGGCCGGGTTATGTAAGCGGGCGCCCCCGAAGCAGCGGCAGCCGCAGCAGCATCTGCGGCGTTCCCGCCCCTGTCTCCGCCCCGCTCCCAGCGCTACAGAGGCAGGAGGCGGCAGCGGCAGCGCAATAGAGCAAGTTTTGTCTCCTACGAGGGGGCGGCGAGGTCCCACGGCCCTCGGCAGTGCCGGCACCATGGCCGCGGCGCCTCTGGGGCGGGCAGCAGCTCCCGCCGCGGCGGCAGCGCCCCGCTGAGCTCCCCGGGCAGAGGGAGCGGCCGCCTCCGCCGCCCCTCCGGGCCGCCCGCCCGCCCGAGAGCGGCGGTCCCCCGGCACGGCCCGGCCCGGCCCGGCGCGGCACCATGTGGGGAGGGCTGCACCCCCAGCCCGGCTTGCGCGGCTACAAGGCGGGTAAGGAGCGCTGAGGAGGGAAGGGAAAGGAATGGGGCTGGGGCCGGGGCCAGGGCCGGGGGGAGGCACATGGGCCCGGCGCCTCTTCCCCTCCCCCGGCCCGGCCCGGCCCGGCCCGGCTGGCTCCCTCCCGGGTCCCCACAGGAACGCCTGAGGAAATGTCTCCCTCCCCACTGCGGGCGGGAAGCGGCGCGGCCCCTTCCCCACACCCGGCTCCCAGAGGGGGGACGTGGCGCCCGGAGAGGGTGCGGGGCCGGCCCGGTGGAGAGGCCGATTCGGCGTCAGCGGCATCGGGCCGGCCGGGGGCTCAGCGCTGCCTTAGCTGGACCTCGCAGCGGATGATAAAAGCTGAGCTTAACCTACATAATCCGTTTCCATGTTTCGGGCTTTCGTTTCCCTCCCCGATTTGTTAGTATACCCTTAGGCAGAGGCTGGAAGCGTGCTTCTCTTGATGCTTTTTCGCTTTAAATTTAGACCGCAACAAATGGGTCGAGTCCTATTTTCCCTTTTTTTTTCCCCTACCACTTCGCTGTCTCTGGATTAATTAGAGCCTAGTTCCTGCAGGTTGGCAGGGATGCGTTGATAGGTTAGTGCTTGGAGTTAGGTTGTTCCAGGAGAGACACCTATCTGTGAGCGATGGGCTGACTTCCCCCACCCCCGGCAAGGCTGTCAAACTGGAGGAGGAAAACTGGTGAATTGGCTTTAGAGCCGTGTGAACATTGCTTTTGGGCAGGTGAGGCAAGGTACTGGCTCTTTTGGATGCTCTTTTCAGGGTTTGGAAATACTACCAACTATATCACCTTCTGGCAGAGCTTCTGCAAATATTTTGTCATGTTTTGATTTATTGAAGCAATTGATCACAGTGGAGGTCTGTGATTTGGCTCTGCCATTGCAAGTGCAAAGTAGTGCTGTTGGAGTAATTTTTTTGCTTCAGAAGTTTGGGTTTATGTTTTAATGTCGGGATTGCAAAACCTGACTGTATAATGTGTAGATGGTTAGTTGACATATGTAAATAGTCGGATTGTTTTGCTTTCGACTGACAGGGTTTTTCTTGCAAATACAAGAGCTGCTAAGACGTTCTCAGCAGCTGCCTGAATCTCTACAAGTAAGCTAATGTTCATCCCTAGAAGGTGAAAGAAGACATTGTTCCTTTTTTCTGTACTGTGATTAAGTTATTAATTTCTGTGTATAACACGTTCACCTCGTTGAAGCCTTTTTATTTTTTTTTTAATTATTCAGTGCTTCTTGGAAAAGAATGGAATTACATTGTCTTTGTGCTACAGCTTGCAAAGATAGTGGATATTCTGAACAGTAGGTGCAGAGATTTCAGTTAATTTGATGGAAGCTGCAGGAATTTAGAGTGTTTCAATTCTTGCTTATTTGTGTTTAGGGCAGGAATATTAAAAGGTTATATCGCAAGCATACTCTGACACTAACTTCAGACTGTTGCAAAGTTTGCTGATGTTTGTTTTGCATTAGTTTCAGAAAACTTTAGATTGTGCCTCTTGGTACAGTGTCTTTCCTTTTGTTTGGGGTCAAATGAAGTGTTTTAATACTGTGTTGAATTTGTCAGCAATTCTGATTGGTGAATTATTGGATGAATGTTTTACTTTTGCATGTTTGTCAGAGTGGTCTTTAAGATTCAAGAACAAATTTTCTGTGTTGCTTTTCCCTCCTCTCCAGTCCCCTCATTCCTTTCGAACTTGTATTAACCCAGAGTATTTAATATATGTTTATCTGTAAGCACTAGAAGTGTAAGGTGGCAAAACTGGTAGAAAAACATCTAATTTGAGATAAGATTAACAGAAAGTAGTGATTAATTAGAAAGCAAGTAGGTGAAGGTTTAACCTTGAGATATCATCTGTGCACTATAATTTCCAGCATAGGAGTCGCCTCCTTCATCTCTCTTACTGGGAAAGAGTCGAGAAGCTCTTTTGCAAGGTTTGTAATCTGTCTAAAGCAGTGGAAGTTAATTAGCTCTATGCAGGTATTTACTGAAGGGATGACAGCTACTAAGATCCTGTTATTGCCATGTTAGATATATTTTTTTTTTTTTTCAAGGAAGCTGTCCATGGGAAAAGTATTTTGTAGCAGAACAGGAGCATCCTACGAGGAAGCAGAAGTTTAAGCACTTATTTTTTAAGCTGAAGGAATTTTTCTTCTGTCAAGATATGTTTAATTCTTTAATGGCAACTACTTGCTATAGATTCTGATTGATGTGGGAGCATAACAGTGATAACTCTTATTAAACTGTATTTATTGCTGAAAAGTGTTCTGTTTTGCTAGTTGTACTCTAGTTATCTATGGATATATGTATTTAGAAGTCTTAGTTTTGTTGAAAATCTTACAGTTCCCTTACAAAGCTAGGTGCTTACTGAAGTATTCTATTTACACAGGGGAATTACCAGTTTTTCAGTAATAGATGCAAATTAATTCTGGTTATCTTAAAATGTAACAGGCAAGGATACTTCTTGGGGCATATTTCATTTGTGACCTTCAGTTTTATTCTCTTTTCTAATTTCCATATTGTTCCTGCTTTTTGGTTCAGTGGGAGTGCATTCTCTGAAAACAAGTGTGCTGTCTTGTTCGCATCCCGCTGGAATTTTTTTTAGATAGGTGCTTCGTGTTTAATCAGTGAATTCAATGACAAAGTTTGCTGCCTGTGCGAAATAAATTCAGCTTCTTACAGTCTCAGTGCCTGTTCTGAAAAATTAAATTGCTATTTTTGGAATGTATATGATTGACCTAGTCTATCAGTCTTCTTGTACACATGTAACTGTTTATGAAACCCTTATACCTCTATAAAGACATCAGTTTGCCGTGTGCTGCAGGAATTTAAATAACTGCACTGAAGGGCATGCAGCATTTTAATCCATTTGCTTATTAATTTAGACCAGCCTTTGAAATGCACACTTGGTTAATAACTCTTTTAAGACTATGAAAGTGTTCATCTAGATGTGTTTTACCTCTGGGGCATGCAGTCATTCAGTTAGGCCATGTCTGTCCAACAGATGCCTGTGGAAAGTGAAACCAGCACACTTTAAAATGAAATGACAAGTATTTATTACTTTCAGTAAACTGTGCCACCTCTAGTCAGGCTTCTCTCCACTGTCCAATATTATCTATTGATAATAATGGACATCAAAAAGATATTATTGACACTCCGTATAAATAGTAGCCTGCACCCCTCTGCTTTCTGGAGCCCTGGCCGTGTGGTTTGCCCTGCATTCTTGTACTTGAACCTTATTGGCAGCATGACACAGGTGGATCTGAAAGATTATTTAATGATGTCACAAGCAAAATGTCAACAGCAATAAGGTCAAAACAGTTTGTGGGGCACTACCTTCTTGGGGTACCCATGGGCTTCACAGGCAGCTTCCTAACAGCTGGCGTGGGGAGGGTGCAGCTGATGACACTTGTTTTCATTATGTGAGGTGGGGGAAGGGACAGAAATCCAGTGGGTTTGTTTCTGTAACAAGTTTTCTTAGTCTGCTATTGGAGATCTGCAGCTGGGGATGTGACAGCTCTTGGAATATCTTGAGAAGGCAGGTTTATCTTTATGGGCTAGGCAAAGCAATAAATGGTGTGTTAGTCCACGTGTAGACTTCAAATTGATTACCAGTTATAAGCGTATATATACGTTTGCATATGGTGCATTGTAAAGATTGATCACCTGAGCTTAAAAATGTGGTGTTCCTGCTGCTAGAATGGCCTCTGCTGTCTTTCACAGATCACTGTGAGGTCAAATGACATTCTGTGTTTGAGTGATGGTGAACAGGAGCTACTTACTTCCCTTCAAGAACAATGCCTTTGTTTTTTCCTCCCTCCAGGCAATTCACTTTTATGGATGTAGCATCTACTCTTTTAGTGCGTGCAGAACATGTATGTCTTAACTGCTTGGCACAAGAAGAGAGATGGATGTGAGGGTATATTATAGTGTTGGTCTTGGGGGCTTAGGAGTTTTTCTGGTCTCTTGTATGTTAAACATTTACTCACTGAATAATAGACCTGTGTTTGCGGTAATTCTGTGCTTTTGAAACTTTACTTAAAGGAAGTAGTAATTAATGTAACGATTTTGAGAAGAATGCATTCATTTTAAATGGTTGTACAGAATAAGGTTATAGTAAAAAGCAGCCTGAGCCATCACATCTGCCCTAGGGGGTGGTGATGAAGGAAGTACTAGTAGGATAAGAGCATCTGTAGCTTTTCAAAAGAATGTCTAGGATTTATGTCCACCAAATATTGATTCTTACAGTTGCAAATTCTTTATGCTAAGATTTTAGTTTGATGTTTAATACCTGTTAAAGAACCCATGTGTTTCAAGATATGGAGCACTTGCCAAATACAGTAAGAGTACATGATGGTAAGAACAGCTGGAAGCCTCCTAAATTGCATGACTTGAGGTTGTATCCAGAGGTGGTCATCTGCCATTGTTGGATGCAAAGTTTGTTCACTGTAGACAAGTTACTTAAGAAGAGAGAGAGTGCTACACTTGTTCAGTGTTACCTGCTCTGCCTTCTGTACTCTTTGGATGCTTGTTTCTATCATACAACTTGTCTGTGGTTTAATAGTTGGAGAGTTTAACTGATTTTCAATTCCTGTACTGGTTGTTCTTTGGCTGAAAAAGTACTGACTTGGTTGTAGTTGTCAGTAGCCTCTCAGATGCCCAAATACATCTTGAAGTGGTACATTGACAATGAGACAGTCTGATTGTGGTTGTGATTAGCTTTAAAACACATTCAAGTGTATTCACTGTGTAATTCAAAAAGTGGCTTTCTCACTGGCTTCTGCCGTGGGTTAGCCATGGCTGGCTGCCAGACATCCA